TCAATCTTTGCTTCTCATCTGGCCGCTTTTGACCTAGGAATATTCCTGGATAAGCTAGTTCCTCAGAATACTGATCTCGAAATATGCTGAGTGGTCTACTACCTTCACCTGGTGCAACATTGTATGTATGTTGTCTTTCAGTATCATCTACAAAATCAGTAGGTGTGAGCATACTGTCTGTTACACCAGCAGGAATTTCTGCTTCATCTTCACTCCATTCATCTTCTGAAGATTCCAAATTAGTTTGATCAACTGAAGTATTTTCAATGTTACTATTACATGTTGTAACATCAAAGTATGATAACCAATGCTGATCAAAACTTATTCCTTGTTCTCGATATAGTTCACTATTATTTACCAACCAAGCTGCAGCTTGCATCACTTTATTAGGTCTGACATTTAAAGCCAACGCCGAACTCTTATATTGCAGTCGACGTTTTAATTGAACTTTAATAGTCCCAGTATCTTGTGGTAACCTAGGTAACATGTTAACAGTATTACATACATCTGCTGGTATATTCACAACATTACCATTAATTTTAAGTTGACCTCCTCTAGGAGCTTGCATTATTTTTTGAAATGCTAATCTTGGAGCTATAAGCCTGCATTCTAATTCATTTAAATCAAAAAAGTCAGGGTTTTTTGGAAACTTCAAGCCATTTGAAATTGCACATGGTGGAACTTTATCCTTTTTAAGATGTTTGTCACATGTTAAACACAGCCATTCAATATTATCCACACTTTTAATACCTTGTAGATGTTTAGTAGAATTTAGATTGGACAGTCGAAGTTTCTCAGCAGGACAAACACTATGTTTATACCATAATTGATCACAACATGAGCATTTATACAGAGGACCTGTTGATACAAATTTATGGAACTTATCTATCAATTGTGATACACTATTATGTGATGTAATGTTACCATTATTGAGATTAATTTCAGAATGTCTTTTTTTATTTTTCTGATAACGACCTCTTCCTTTTGCTAATCGCTGCTCCCTTTGCTTGCTAGTTTCATTTTGCCTTTGCAACCTTCGTGCTTCTCGCTGACTTTGAAGCCTATCTGCTCTCTCTGAAACAGTTTCATGTTGTTTTGCCAGTTTCCTTTTCTCTCTAAGCTTTGCAAGTCTATTTGTCCTCTCCAAAACAGTTTCTTGTTTTCTTTTCTCTTTTTGGTTTTGAAGTCTATTTTCCCTCTCTAAAACAGTTTCTTGTTTTCGTTTCTCTTTTTGTTTTGTAAGTCTATTTTCCCTCTGTAAAACAGTTTCTTGTTTTCGTTTCTCCTTTCGCTTTGTAAGCCTATTTTCCCTCTCCGAAACAGTTTCCTGTTTTCTTTTCTCTCTTTGCTTTGCAAGTCTATTCTCTCTCATTGCAACTGACTCTTTTTCTTTTGCTTGTTTTCTTTTCTCTCTTTGCTTGTCTCTTAGCTTTGCAAGTGCATTTTTTCTTTTTATTACTGACTCTTGATGTCTTGTTTGTTGTTCATGGTTATTTGATATTGTGTCATCATTCACTGTGCTATCCAAACTGTTTGACAATGAATTGTTTCGACAACATTTTACACCCTTCAATTCAAATATACTATTTTCACTATTTTGTCCAAGATAATTGCAAAGGTTATGAAAAAAACTTACAAGATTTTGAATTCCTTCAATAGAAACTAAAACACTATAACCCATTGCCACTGGCATTCCATGCATATCTCGTGAATGAGAATCAAAAACCTTAAAGACATCTGGAAAAGGCATTAAAACTGCAACAGTGTTTGCTCCAATAGTGAGTAAACATGTTTTATAATTACCAACATCAAATACTTCATGAAAGGCATGTTCAAGTGTAACATATGGTTCACTGTTCTGATCCATCCATAAAGCTCCAGAAAATGAGTCACTGTACTCCAAATTAAAAGTATGATTGTCAATAGACAAGACTTCAGGAACATCAGTAAGCAACAAGAATTCTTTTTGAATGTGCTGACTAATTATGCCATAAAGATTGTTTGCATTAACTAGAAGCATGTTCATAAGTGGTGTATCCCAAATATTAACAGATTTTATTTCATTGTATACAATAGCATAAATTGACATGGCAACACATTGCTTTCCAGCATTTAATCCAAACATCGATATATTACCTTGGTTGGTGTCTGCTCGAACCGTGAAACTGCGATCAACAATATCATATATATTAATTGGGCCTGGATTTTCCTCAACATCATTTGCAAGTCTCAATAGCAATGGTAAATAAACATGATAAGATATCATTTGTGTATACCATATGGAAACTTAATTATTTTTTTCAACCATTGTGACTAGATTTTTCAAGCATGGTAAATAAAATACTTCTAAGTAAAACATTACTAACACAAAATTCCAAAATTTACCTTTCATTCGATTCATTGACTGTCGTCCTTGCACAAAGTTGTTATGTGAACCAATTCTTACTCTGTATATCTCAATTGACACACCCATTTATGTATATTCTCACAGCTTTTGACAATATTTATTTGGTTCCTTTGAGTTTGAATTTAGTTTCTTTGACTTTTTATTTCGTTTCTTTGAATTTCTATTTAGTTTCTTTCAGTTTGTAATTCTTTTATAATTGCACAATGGCAAAGTCTCAAAAATCCCAGCACAATGGCAAAGTCTCAAAAATCCCAGCACAATGGCAATGGGCTACTCTAGTTTTTACCTGCACAATGGCAAGGTTAATTTGTATAAATTGTAATTTATTTTTCGAACTTGTATTTTGATTTCTTTCAGTTTCTATCTAGTTTCTTTGAAATTCTCTTTGGTTTCTTTGAGTTTCTATTTGTAATTCTTTTACTGTAAAATGCAATGGCAATTAAGGTCTAAATATAAATCCCAGTACAAAAAATTGGCAGTGGACGGACGTTCGATATCAGTGCGAGCACAACGGCTCCAAAATAACAACAGAATGCAGTATTTGAGACAAATAAAAAAACAGCAAAGCCTTTACCTACCTTCGAAAGCGCTCGGTTTTGTAAAATTGTCCTTAGCAATCGACGTTTCCGACAATATAAATTTCAATGTGTCTTTACAGTATATAAAATCACATCGGAAAGACTCGGTATTTGTCGCAACTTACGAATCTACCACGTGACCGGTACGCTCACCACCACCGCCACGACACGAAATTTAAGCTATGTGAAAGTTACTACAAATCGGATACTAGTCCGATGCTCTGCCAACTGAGCTACATGGCCAACACAGGTTTTTGATATTTCGAAAGTTATATAAGTTATAAGGAATGAAAGAATTTTTAAACCTATTAGTTTTGCAAATTGGCAGTTAAAATATACATATACATATACATCCACATCCACATCCACATCCCCCCCAACACCCACATCCACATATACATATACATGAGATATGCATGATATACATGACACACACACACACACACTATGTTTTAGGAATTAAAATTGATTTATTTTTTATATATATGTTGCCAGCCAGGAATTTTGCACACCTCTTCTGCAGCTCAGTTTTTTTAGCATCAATAATGACACATTAAATTTTACACCGTTTTGGGATAATTTTGGCTAGGAGATGGTTCTTCTAGCCAGTTTTTTTCTGTCTAACAAAACAATATTTTTGAATACATTCCAATAAAATTCTAAATATTTATGCCAGATAAGGGTGGAGGCAAATTACTGATAGCACCTGTATATATGCCTGCTAAAATCATTAAATGAGATATAACTGTCTTCTCTCTATACATATCAGCCACTGTAAATCATGCAATGTACATAATTGCTTGTGGATTAAATAGGGTTAAATTTTAACCAGGAGATTTATCAGTATTGGACCAACACATACCTAGTTAATTTAACCAGGAAAATTGGTTACCAAAATTAACCAGGATTTTCGGTTAAATTTGACCAGCCATTCTAGTTGCACATTTACACTTAAAGTGCTTGGAAGTAACCAGTATACAATCAAAATATTGCTAATATCTTCATGGTTTATGAAGGTATAATCTGAAATAAAGTGTGCATTGCAAACTTTATGTACACATGTCCTGTACAGTTTTCTTTAAGTAGTTTATGTTCAAAAGACATATTACATTTCACAGCATAAAGAATTAATGCAAAATAAGTATTATTTTATTTAACAGCAGGTAATAAGCTTGATGAAATTGTTCTAAAATTGTTAAAATACAATGTATATGTTAGCGATCAAATGTATATTATACCTTGATATGGAAAATTAATTAACAGCGACAATTGATTGGGTACAATAAAAAAGTCAAATAATATCCAATTCAATAATATTTGAATATTCAATAATATATCAATGCCTGCATTGCAACTAATCCTTGCTGTCGACTATTACAAATACTTGGTCTGGATTCTCTCTTCCACCAATTGCCAAAACGAATGGCCTTTTTTTGGGCTCTTCAAGATATTTTGGCATATTTGTACCAATCTAATTATCTAAAAAATTATAATTTTATATCATTTTATATAAAAATGATCATTGTCATAAAATGCATACACTCATAAAAATGCAGACTTATTGACAATCTTTGTTAACTGACATGATATTTTTGTAATAAATTAATGTCATGTAGCTAATATCATCAGGGAGCTTTATATAGCTGCATGTGACTCTATATAGCCCTGTTTACACTACACTTGATTATTTGATATAGCTAAAAAAGCATTTAGACAAGAGTATAGAAAAACCGCCCAAGAGTATAGAAAAACCGCCTGAGACTTCAAAAAAGCAGCTGACAAAAATCTGAAGTTATTTTGTGTTTTTAAATTAAATATCAGTAAATATGAAACGTTCTAAGAACCCGTATGCTTAGACAAGAACATTTGACACTAACTAGCACTGATGAACGGGCTGAATTGTAATTGTGCATGGAAATTCTCCTGGCTCTGTTGTTTTACTCAACATGATCTTTATGTTTTACTTTGCCCGGCCTGCGTTTAAAACAGTGTCTTAAAGGAGCAGTGTCATCGTGTGCGCATCTTTTCTGCGCATAACAAAAAACGAATCGGAAAGTCTCGGATATTGTTCGGTGCGTTAAATAATATTGAACAATGGCGTCCCCTGAGGCAAGCTCGACGGTAAAAAACTATGCATATTTTCTTGTCTACTCAACATAAATACCAAATGCATATCATGTTTCTTAAATTAGCGCAGGTTGAATATTGTAAGTGCAAGAGCTCTTGTAGCGTGAAGCGAAAACCGAATACGAATCGAGGATGCCCTTGCAAAGGTTCAAATATGGATTGCTCTGTAGCGTGCAAATGCGGCACTCGTGCTAAACCTTGCAAGAATAAGGTAAGCTTGAAATAAATTATTTTTCTGTTTTACAATTTCTTCACTTTTCTAATATATGGCGTTGTTTCAGAAAGCGGCAGCAAACTATGAAGGTGAAAGTCGGGGGAAACCAACGAACAGTAAAGTTAGACGTATGAATCAGCAAGGGTTTCGCCTCACTCACGAGCCAAGAGAGACAGAGGAAATACAAAGAGAAAAAGAAAATAAGGATGTAAAGGTAGAACAGTTTCTTTAATAACTTATTTTTATTCAATTACTGATATATACTGATTGCGTTGGTCAAGATTAATATAGTTTTGGTAATATATGTAAACAATGTCCAATCAATTTTTCAAACTAGTTCTTAAAACTAACTACACCGAGGGTTAGGATAAAGGCTTTAATTTGCCCTAGGACTTTGTAGCCACACTGGATGAAGATATGGTTCGAAAATTGGCTATTCGCAGTCTTAGACGAGGCATCGGAAGCATGGATTATATTCATACATTGCTTATTATGGATGATGATCTTGTGGAAGAGGATGAAGACATGGGTGAATTTGGAGCACAGTCTGAAGAGGAAACTGAGCAACCAAATACTCCTGATCTGCCTCAAAACCAACCCTCTGCACAAGGGCCAGATTGGTGCAAATGTGGATATTGTCAACCCATGCCACAAGAAATCGAAAATCGATGTTGTAAACTAAAGAGCTGCATATCGTTGACATCAAGGTTTGAAAAATTGTGTCTTGATCCTGATGTCTTACAGCTGTGCATACGGAATTCCAGCGACATAAGGAATGATCGAGAGGACAATAGTACACGAGCCTTTAGAAAAGCGGCATATAGACAATTTATTCTGGCACGGTATGGGCATCTAGGAAAAGGGAACAGGAGGGTTTGTCCATCTTGCGTAGTATTGAAAATACGAAAACAGTACCCATCCATTACAGGAGTGTATATGGGTTATAGAGAACATTGATTAAGACATTGCATGCATGAACAAGCTTTTATGTTTACTATTATATACAATTTATTTATAGCAACAGTTAATGATACTTATTTCTTGTGTTCAAATCTACTTCTTTTAGGAATTTCTTTTGTGGGAGGTGGGACTATGTGTGCAATTGTTTGGGCAATAAGGCCAGGGTCACTTTCATTCAGAGGCACACTTCGTGTGACACTGTCATTATCATCTTCTCTGCTTCTGAAAACCTTTGCAATTAGTAATGGGATGTAGTCATAGCCCTTTTCCACTTTCACAACCTTTACATCCCATTTTCTTGTTCTAGGGTTGTATTTCCGTGTGACCATCACATCTCCAGTACTCTTGTTCTTAGCTTGTGGGAGATTAATGTGAAAGTTCCAATCTATAGCTGTCAATTGCTTTCTTGCCTTGAATGCTCTGTAACTAGATGCCATCATACATATATTATTTTAGAACTGTCCTAAGATAGACAAGACATGATTAATGCTTGAACATGTAGTAGAGGCAAACCTGAATGGCATTCTTTTTGGAGTATATACTAAGCTCAGACTGTTTGCACATTCTATGGAGCCTGTATGCCTGTAAAAGTAAAAAAACGGTTTGAAATTTCGCGAGGAGGGGTGGGAGAGGACAGGGGACATTAGTTGGTTAATCATTTGTCTCAAAATAAATGGTGAATATTTATTGTCATCTGGTGGTGATTGATCTAATGATACAATATAATTACCGGAATTGTGTGTAGTACTTGAAGCTTGCAAGCAGGTCAGGATTTAAAATGACTTTTTGAAGTTCAATAAAGTCTGCATCTCTGTTATCAAACCATGGCAAGCTTGTGTCGTGTTCACCATCTTCATGGTCACAAGATCCACCTATCCAATCATGCTCATTGCAGACATGGTGTAGTAATGCAATCCACTTATCCTGAAAATATAGAATTATATATTAACTGTCTTATACAATGTCAATTTTTTGGTGATTTAGATAGCTACCTTCATTGCTCTAAGAGCTTCCTCATGAGATGTTTCATTTCCTCCACACGAACTTGAGCAGTACCAAAAGTGTCGCACAATATGAGCGGACCAATCTCTAATTTTTTGCATTGCTTTAGGCTTACCAATCTGGGTAAAACAAAAACCCTCATGAAGAAGTACAAGTAGGAATATAAAAATACAAATTAAACAGAACCTTTGTAGCACAGTTGATAAAAAATATATACAGTACCTTTGTCAGACACTTCTTGATACTTTTGGCCTTGTGCCAAACATCAAGGCCATGCACAATGTCTTTAAATTGTGTTTCTGCAACGAAATATTAAAATGATATATGAATTGCCATACAGAAAATCGGCCACGAAGGAAAATACTAAGGCAAGCATTGTCTGTTCCTAGGGCCCGGCTTGCTTATATGGAGCCGAGTTACCCAGCTATATACCCACCAAGCAATATTTTCACAGATGATGATGCGTCAGTTACAAATTCAACCACTTTAATGTCCTGACACAAGCTCTCCAATCCTCTCTGAGCAGCCTCTCTTTCCATATTATTTGATACCAGCTTGACATGTCTTTTGTCTAGGATTTGGATGTCAATGATATAATTGGTTTTCAGATCAGCCATAAAATAGCATAAGTTTTTTGCATTGTATCCAGGTGAGTCGCACTGACCATCGCCTCCCACTACAATATCTTCCCCTGATAATTCGTGAAGGAGTTGTTTTCTCATCCAGCACCACCATTCATTGATCGTAGGAATTAGGTAAACCCGTTGAAGTCTATAATAAGTTGATTTTGACAAGAATGCCAAACCAAAGAACTTAGAAAGACGTTGAATTTTAGCAAAACTGTTTCCGGAACACAAAAGTGATGCTGCAGCCTGAATGTTATTGGCATATATCCCATTAATATTATGTGATGAGGTAAATCTGTACTTGTGACCTGATGAGCAGGAACAACTCACAATTAAAGTTGTTCCATTAAAATGATGATTTACTGTAGGACTTTGAACACAGCCAGGTATTTGGCAACGACTTTGAAACACTTCTAACAGCAAATCAAGCGAGCATATGAACTTCCTTTCAGTTACTGTTTTGTACTCTTGTTTTAGCATGCATATCTCGTCACCTCTGCTCAGTTTTTTGTGTGGACCGTATGCAACTTCTGTAGTGACCATATTGTGAAAGTTTTGAGATGTCTGCTGTTCCAAACTTGACAGTACTTCATCATCACTACTTAAATCCCCACCATTGTAGTCGTGCTCATCTTCATAGTCAATATGCCTATCAGAAAATAAAAATAGCTTTCTATAGTTACTCAGTGTCTCAGTATCACCATGTAAAATGCTTGTTTGATCGTTTATTGAATATTTATTTATAATAAGAGAATTTTCTTTTTGTAGCACACAAATTAAAATTTGCTGTTACATATGATTTTTTGTATCTCATATAAATACCCTCATTATGATAAAGCATTTCACATAATTGCTTACATATCTTCCTCTAAACTATCTTCACTTTCATCTTCACTATAAGCAGTTGAATTATTAATGATTGAATCGATATCTTCCAGACTATAAGAGAGATATCATAAATCATGTCAATACCCACAAGAGTTTATGGTAACACAGGCTGCATAATTTATGATAATTGAGAATTATAAAATTTAATCTATTTTAACATGTCAACCACAATGTTGTGATGCACCTTTTTCTTACTGCAAGAATGTAATTTTATGATACAAGAATATAATTCTGATTAATATAAGATATTTCTTGGCAAGAAATAATTTCTTATAAGAATTAGGAAAATAATCTTACAGTAATAAGAAAACTATGCTAGAGTAGACTTCGATTTTTTGCAGTGAATACATACAGTACTGTACCTGCTTGTCTCTGAATCATCACTTTCTAGATCCCTGTCAGCATTCAAATATTGCAGGGCTGAATAGGAAATGTCATGTTGTCTGCAAAATATTTAATAATACCATTTTTAGAGAGAAATTATTTTTTGACCCTGCTTGATCTAAAAGCAAATGAATTATATATTTTAAGATCTGAAACAATTCTCGTGCATTTTGGTGAAATGAAGAGACAAATTTAGACGAAGGAAATAAATTATATACCTGTTATTTTCATCAGAATTTTCTTCCGATGCATCACCCTCATCATCTGTAAACAATGAAGTGTTTCCCCCAACAGATACAAATGACTCATGGATTGGAGAATATCCAATGCTAGATTGCATAAGGCAACAGATAAAAGTGTTATAAATGTTGTATCGGGTATTGTGATATATAAATAGTAACAGTAAGTAAAGTTAATTTTCACTTATTTCAGGCCTTCATTACTATACCATTCATCGTGTGTTGCCATCTCAACCTCTTGAAAACGTTGAGTATTCTCCACTTCATCATTTTCTTCTGTTCCCTCATGTTTTCCCGCCAGAATGGGAGACTCGCATATTGCGGGAAGTTTATACAATACATCCTTCATTGTCTTCTTTATCGGTGTTGATATTACGTTTTGGCCTAAATATATACAACTATACGTTGAAGATTAATCGTCTGTTTGCAGTATAAAAACTATGACATCTCAAAACCTACCTATCGTGTTTATATTTATAATGTTCGAACTTGGTTCAGGGCATTCAGCTGGCTGAATGTATCCCCTTGTTTCATCAGACCTGTATAATAATGATAATCTGCGCATTAATCGAACAGGGCATTTAAAGCTTAATGGCTATTATCCGGGCTATAATGACTATTATACGCGCTATAATGGCTATTATATTTATGCCTACCTTCTTCGATATTCCAGTGAAAGTAGATGTGCTGCAAATTCACTGTCACTACGTAACTCATATCCTGCAATACTTTTGGCATCTTTCCAAGAATTAAATATCGTCAAGGATACAAATATTCTTCTGTGTTCTCTGTCCCAATTTTTCTGTGCATTTCGTCCTTCGTACTTCCTTTTCCGGCCGCAATTATTTAGTTTGCCACCGTGCAAGCCTCTTCGCGAATCCGCCATATTGGACTGGAGAACTTGAAAAACTACGGCAGTAGTTTTTCAAGTTCACGTGCGCAGAAAAGATGCGCACACGATGACACTGCTCCTTTAATCAGGATACCAGATGTCAGGATACCAGTTTAATCATACCAGCTTAATCATACAATACGTTTAGATCAAGGAGACAATGATTGTAACTAAAGTTATAACATCATTGCCAACCAGTCAACACGGTTACGTCTTACTAACTTATCCTAATAAGATAGTATGACGTATTATGACACAACTTATCTTAATGACAAAAACAGTTAATTAGGAATTTAGTGGCGCATAACATTGTCGTAATCATGTTGTCTAGTGAGAAAGAATGAATCAAAAGTGTTTACCTGCCAATATTTTGATTTTCCATTTCTTTATGTAATTGTATGTTGGTAAGCAGCGTGTTGGTAAGCAGCGTGTTGGTATGTACACCCCGCACATTCTAAAATTATTAAACACACATTTCAATTTTTTGTTCAATTTGAAATGGAAAATTGAAGAGAAAATTGAGAGTGAAATAGTGGCAAATTGTCTAATGTGCATGGCGATGTTAACATAATGAGTGGAAGCATTAGCGAAAAGTTTAGTATATACGTCTCAAAACGAAAAACTTATCACCGAGGGTGACAAACTGGTATACATAGAGAAGAAGGACAGGCTGTACGTCAGGGCTGTCAAAGGAAAACGTCTTCCGATAGACCCCCAACCTGCAGAAGGAAGAATAATAGTTTTTAAGTGCTATTATACAGCTTTAAAACGGGACCCTTTGTACAAACATCGTGTTTCTGTGATAACCGAGTGCTCGCAGAACATAGAAAATTTTAAAGAAAATCGTTGTCGTGGAGTATATCGGTAAGTTCAGCAAAAGCTTTATACCACAGAGAAAAAAAATAGGGGCTTCTAATTTGGAAAACAGACAAAACGACTTATCACCGTTTTTTTCCTTATCTCCAAAGCAAACTAAGGAAAGACATCGGTTTCTACTCAGGTCTCCCTGAAACCAAAAATTGTGGTTGGGTTCGACGAAAAGGCAGCAATCACAAAAGCAATTAAAAATTGTTTTCCATCTGCTGTACATGTCCTCTGTACTCGAGATTTAGAAGAAAACGTTCGTCGCTACCTGACAAACACAGTTGGTGTAGATGATAAGGTACAACGTAAAGTAGTTTCTTTGATCTTTGGCAAACATGGTTTAACAAATGAAAACGACACCAAGAATTTCGAACTTAAATATTTTCAACTTTGTGACACTTTCCACAAGCATTTGCCATCATTTAAGAGCTATTTTGAAAAAATAAGCGGATAAAATTCGCCATTTTATATTCAAGTCACATGAAGAAAACAGATGGATTCCAATAGACTGGAAAAATAATCATCGTGAGTCAATGAACCACGTTATTAAATTGTCATCCAGCTGGAAGACTATGAAGTTACCAGATTTAATAGATCGCTTATACCGTATTGTTAAGCTGCAGCAAATTGACTGTCGACGCACTTTGCATGGGCAGGGAAATTATGACCTTGCTCCTTGGATGGCGAAAATGAGAGTCCCAGAAATGCACTGAAGCCAAAAAACAGAGGAAGAAAGAGAGAGTATTTACCAGAGATTTATGAAAGGATTACCAGAAAAGAAAATGGAACTTATTTCCACTGATGGATTGCTCTCTGTGCCAAGAACACCCAAAGTGGCAAGAAAACCAGGAATAAAGAAAAGAATAAAAAACATAAAAACACGAACAAAAATCCGCTGAAACTTATATCAATAATTATCAGGTTTTCCCATCAGGAGTGAACAGTGTTGTGTTGCACCCCATGAGCAGTATTGTTATCAATGTTGTTGCAACTAGTTGCACAGGATTGATTGTTGTTAAAAATTAAAGGACAAGGTTCAAAAACATTGTTAAAGGGCCGAATACTGCTATAGTCATGGGGTGTAACACAACATTGTTCACATCTGTTTTTAGTAATTTTTTTTTTTTTTTAGGTTTTTATTTTATTTTTCCCAATTAATAACATACATATATATACATTTACAATGTTAATAACTACTCTAAGGGCTAGGAGCCTACTAGAAACCTTTACAGGCTTTTGATTAAGGCCCCTAGTTTTTATGTATCTATGTAAAGTTTTTGGCAGTTCAAAACTTTCAATAACAAAACAATAACTATAATCTTATATACAAAACTTTCAAAACAAAACAATAACTATAATCTTATATACAAAACTTTCAAAACAAAACAATAACTATAATCTTATATACAAAATTGTAAATTAGGTAATTAAACTGCTACCTAGGATATACTACTCTAGAAATATATGGCCAAAGTGTATACATTTAGAATCTTAAAAAGAAGAGTTCTGAATACATATGAAATTGAAGTTTCATCAGTTGACTGTGATTTAATTAATTCTAATTGTGTGTACCGCAGATATTCAAGAAGTGCTTTTTAATTATTCTTTTAAAAGTTTGAAGGGATCTAATATTTTTATAGTTTTTTCCTAAACCATTCCAAATATCAACTCCCTTGTTTGAGAGAGTATGTTTTAGATAATTAGTCCTTTTATAAGTTTTATGGAGCTGTAATTTTTTTCTAGTATTGTGGTAATGAACATCATTATTAATTGTGAAATAGTTGTTGAATACTTCAGGTAAATTTTTTAGGTTAAAATATCGAAACATGAATAAACTTGTTAAAAAGTCATTCACTTGGAAGATGTTTAGAATTTCTAAATGTTTGAAGATAGTTTCAGAGTATGATTTAAAAGTCATCAAACGCATAATTTTTTTTTGTACATTCATTATCTTTTGTATTCTCGTTTTATACGTATTACCCCAAATTAGGTTCCCATAAATCAGATATGGATAGACCAGTGCATAATAAACTAGCTTACGACTATTCAGATTAGTACAATGACGTATTCTGGAAATGATACTTGAAGCTTTTATGATTTTTTTAGAGATTAAATTAATATGTTCTTTCCAAGTCAAGCACTCGTCCATAACGACGCCTAGAAATGTAGTGTTCTTAACTTGTTTTATTAATTGATCATTTATAGAAATTGTTATATTATGTTTCTGTTTTTTCTTTGATGATCTAAATAACATAAATTTAGTTTTAGTGGTGTTTATAGATAATTTATTTATATTCAACCAATCAGATATTTTATTGATTTCCATTTGTATAACTCCATTAAGTGTCTTTAGACAGTTATGACTGTAAAATATATTTGTATCATCTGCAAATAAAATGATAGAAACTATTTTACTACAGTTTTGAATATCATTTATATATAATAGAAACAGCAGTGGCCCAAGTATTGATCCCTGTGGGACACCACTTTTTATTATCATTTCATCTGACTTTACTTCAATATACTTGACGATTTGTTTTCTATGCTGTAAATAATTAAACCATTTTAGACAGTTTCCTCTTATACCATAATATTCTAGCTTTTTAATCAGTATCCCATGGTCAATTGTGTCGATGCCTTTGATAGATCAAGGAAAATACCGAGTGCATATTTCCCTTCATCAATTTCTTTCGTAATTTTATCAACAAGTTCAATTATTGCAAGTTCGGTTGATCTATTTTTTCTAAATCCATATTGGTGCTTAGATAGAATTTAATTTTTATCAATGAAACTAATTAATCTATTATACATTAGCTTTTCAAGTAGTTTAGAAAAGCAAGAGAGAACTGAAATTGGTCTGTAATTTTTAAATTTATTATTTTCATCTCCTTTATAGATGGGTGTTACTATTGCAAGCTTTAAGTTTTCAGGAATAATTCCATTTATAAATGTTAAATTAAATATATGAGTAAGTGGTTTTGCAATTTCTCTTGCCAATAATTTTATTATTTTACTACTAATATTATCATATCCTGGACTTTTGTTTGGATCCATGTTGTTAATTTCTGTCTCTAGTTCATCTTCAGTTATTGGTGTTAGAAAAATGCTATTTGGATAGTCACCAGAAAGATATTTTTCAAAACATGTATTTATATTACTCCTGATGTTCTTAGCTAGATTAGGCCCAATATTGGTAAAGTATTCATTAAATTTATTAGATATTGTTTTGGGATCCTTTATTTCATTTGAAGAGTCAGTGTCAAAGAATGTCTTGGGTAGCTCTTCTATTTTTCTTTCTCTGTTAAGTATTTCGTTTAGTGTTTTCCATATCATTTTTGAGTTATTTTTATATTTTACTAATTGCTCCTCATAATAAACCTTTTTGGAAATTTTTATTGTGTGATTTAATTTGTTTTTATACGTTTTATATTTTTTTTCATTCTTTTTGCAAGGATTTGTTAGATAATGCTTGTAAAGTATGTTTTTTCTCTTAATTGACCTGAGTATGCCAATTGTCATCCAAGGACTTTTTACTGTGTTTATTTTATGTTTACAAGACTTTCTCCTAAATGGAAAATTGTTTTCATACACTGATGTAAATTGCTTAGAAAATTCATTAAAGGCACTTTCAGGGTTTACATTAGTAAGTATATTATCCCATGAAATATTTTTAATTTC